TGAGACCAACAAAGTTTATTCAAAGTGTAAGCTTTCATGTCCAAAACATACTTCTTCAGACAAAACTGGAATAAAATCTCTAAAGCTAGATATAGGGAAAAAGAGGGTAGCGGTACGCCATTAGGAGAGGCCACTCAGAGCCCAGGTGCCTATGCAGAGCAGGAATTGGAATGGGAGAGCGGTAGGATGACTGGATAGCAGCAAATTAGCACATAAATGCAAGAGTTAACAGAGAGATGTGAGGATAAAATTGGAGTCCAGCAGCACCCCCAAGAAAAACTGAGCTCACCCCTGTGTACATGCGAGAATGGAGACTCAGCGTGTGCACCAGTGTTCCCTCTGAGCTGAGTTAGTGTGGGCTAGCTCACAGTTTTGTAGCCTCTGGCTCACACATTTTTGTCTTAGCTCAGGAAGGATGGCACGAGAGCAAACTAATTTATGCCGTTGCCAAATCGCTTGCTCACAATTTTAATGCCAGTAGAAGAAAAAGAGAAGAGATTGGATTTATATCCCACCCTTCACTATCCAAAGGAGTCTCAGAGTGGCTTACAAACTCCTTTCCCTTCCCCTCCCCACAACAGACACCCTGTGAGGTGGGTGGGGCTGAGAGAACTCTGACACAAATGGCTCTTTTTCAAGGGCAGCTGTGCCATAGCTTGTGACTGACCCAAGGTCACATCAGCAGGTGCAAGTGGAGGAGTGGGGAATCAAACCCGGTTCTCCCAGATTGGAGTCCGCACACTTAACCACTACACCAAACTGGCTCTCAAGTAGCTCTCAGTAGCTCAATGGGGAGGTTTTGGAGCCAAAATGGACCAATAGGAAAAGAGGAGGGCTGAGGAAAAAAGTTCTGGAGCAGCAGGAAGAGCTGTTCTTTCTCCAGAAGTCAGAGCTGGAAGGAAGGCTGCTGCAGGGGAGAAACCATCATCCTGAGGGAGGGGTGAGTAGTGTAAGGCCACTTGAGATAGTGAGCTAGGGAAAGTAAATTTAGACACGTTAGGGCATTTGATTTCTTTTCACCCACTTACTGTTATTATTCTGCACCTTCGTCCATTTTGGCTCCAAAACCTCCCAGGGGCTTCTGGGAGTTGTAGGCCCAGGCTCACCTACTGCTAGCCAGGCTCTCTGGGGCTAGTAGGCTTCTGGTAGCACAGGCCAGATCATGACACCATCCAACAGCCAACCTACCTTTATATGACCCTCTGTCTTCAGCTTTCCATCTTTTTTTCCTCTGCAGCTTCTACTGAGGAAAATGATGGTCTTTCTCCACAGTGGGGACTAAAGCAGTTTACATTATTCTATCCTACTTTTTATCCACACAACAACCCTGTGGGGTAGGTTAGGCTGAAAGTATGTGACTGGCCCAAAATCACCCAGTGAGCTTCCACAGCAAGATGGGGATCTAAACCTGGGTCTCGCAAACCCTACTCTGAAGCTCTGACCATTATACTACACTGACTTTCATAGGGTGGCTGCTGTTGAACAGCAGCAAGCAGCCAGGCCTAGTTGAATCATGCAAAATCAGGTGGTATCAAGTCACCCAGAGGGTGCTGCAAGGCCTAGGTTTGCAAGCCTTCAGGTGGGAGATCCCCCAGAATTACAACTGTACTCCAGAAAACAGAGATCTGTCCCCCTGGAGAAAATGGGCGGACTCTGTGGCATTATATTCAGCTGAGGCCTCTCCCCTCCCCAAACTCTGCACTCCTCAGACTTCACCACAAAATCTCCAGGAATTTCTCTACCTGGAGCAGGCAATCCCAGGCCCCGGCCTGGCTACCCCCCCCCATGGTATTTAGCCATTCATACTGCAAGAAGAATCCTCCCCAATCCCAGATCCAGTTCTGCTTTTGTTTCCTTCCCTCTCTGTCTCTCCCTCTCCGTCTGTGTACTTCTTACTGTCGATGTGGAAGGGCCTGGAACAGATCCCTGCGGTAGCAGTTTCAAAAGGTATTGGGGGGGGGGATTCAACCCTCCCCAAGGGTTGTTTTTTTTTTGTACTTTTTGGATTTTTCTGCAGACTGTAGAAAAACCTGTTAGGGGAGAGTATGCCCCCTATCCGCAGAAATAAGTATCCACACACAGGGGACTGTTGGGAATTAGATGTATAGATGCTAATCAAATAATCTGTAATTTTATTTTCAGTTGATGTTCCCATACAAATAGACCACTGAAGATAAATGAGAAAAAACTACAAAAGTGTATCAAATACAATAAGTTCAAGTCAAGAAGCACAAATTTAATCAAAATGACAGAGTGAATTAAAGGTAATGAATGACTTGGTACTTTCAGCTAATAAGTTTTGGTACTTACCTTTAAAGCCTGAAACGGTCTGGGACCAGCATGCCTTGAGGACTGCCTTTCTTAACCCCCAAGAGCATTACACTCTAAGTGATCAAAATCTACTGGTGATCCCTGGGCCGAAGAGCATCTGACTGTCTTCGACCAGAACCAGGGCCTAGAAGGCTCCTGTCTGGTGGAACACTCTTCCAGTTGAGTTCCAGGCCCTGCAGGATCTGATACAGTTCTGCAAGGCCTGCAAATCAGGGTGGTTCCACTGGGCTTATAGTTGAGGGCAGCGATGAGTTCCATCATGGATTGGCCTTCTCCTTTCTCTTCATTCTTCTCCCCGTTCTTCCCTCCCTTTCCCCTTTCCTTCTGAGTAGATAGTGTATACATTATTCTCCCCTGAGACTGTATGCCATCTTTAAATTGTATTGATGTTCTGTAATTATTATGAATTTTATTGTAATTATATATTTGTTCTGGGTTGAATGTTTTTATTGCTCTGAGCCTGGTCACAGGGTAGAGTGGGCTATAAGTCTAATAAATGAAATAAGTGCCACTGGATAGTTCTCTTCAAAACTTACCAATGGTTTATTCATGTCCTCCGATAAAATGAAGCTGTTTCCCAGTTCAGTTCCTGAGATATCAGAGAGAATCTGATATATATAATTGCCCATACGCATTGGCACTTTCCAGCTGTCCCATTGGCTGTGCTGTGTGCTCCATCAGCCATTGGCTCATCAACTGCCAATCAAGAGTACTTGCATGTCATTGGATGGGTGCTGGGTCTGCGCCTCTTCTCCACCCACTGCTGCCTCAGCCACTGTTCCTTGTCAGAATAAACTGCCAAAATGGCTATCTCTCCTGACGAAGACACTTCTCCTTCTTGTCTCTTGTGGAACTAAGTTTTCCCTCAGTGACTGTTGCTAGGCAACCAAGCTTGATTCTGTCAGTAAAAGGGCAAAGCCAGGAGGCCCTTTCCAGGCGTTTGTGGGGAACTCATTGGGGCCCGTCCTGACTAGTGTTGCCAGCTCCAGGTTGGGGAATTCCTGGAGTTTTTGTGGTGAAGTCTACAGAAGCCAGGATTTGGGGAGGTGAGAGGCCTCAACTGAATAGGATGTCATATAGAGTTTGCCCTCCAAAGCAGTTATTTTCTCCTGGGGAACTGTTGCTGCCATTCTCCAGGTAAGGGCCGGAGATCACTCAGAATTACAACTGCTCTCTAGATGGCAGAGCTCAGTTTCCCTGGAGAAAATGGCTGCTTTGCAGGGTGGACTTTGTGTCATAATACCTTGCATAGGTCACTTCCCTCCTGCCTTGGCCCCCACTGCAGAGAAAGACTACTTTTCCTAGGTAGGGGCTGCTGGTGGGGGCGGGGAGATGGAAAGCTGAAGTCAGAGGGGCAGATAAAGGTAGGTAAATGGTTGACTGGGAAGGATAAGGTTGCCAACTCCGGGTTGGGAAATTCCTGGAGATTTGAGGGGTGGGGTTTGAGGAGGGGTGGGACTTCAGACAGGTGCAATGCCATAGACTCCACCCTACAAACCAGCCATTTCCTCCTGGAGAACCATTGTTGCCAATTTCCAGGTGAGGTCTGGAGATTACTCAGAAAGAATTACAACTGTTCTCCAGATGGCAGAACTCAGTTTCCCTAGAGAAAATAGCTGCTTTGCAGGGCAGACTCTGTGTCATTATACCTTGCTGAGGTCACTTCCCTCTTGCGTGGGTTTCCACTGTGGGGAAAGACTATACTTTTCCTAGGTAGAAATAATGGAAAATTAGAAATATAGTTTTAGATACATTTTTATGTTGACCTCGGGAAAAACTAAGCAAATTAGTGGCATTTTATTCTTTTCTCATTGTCGTAGATAATTGTGTTCAAATATTTCGGTGTTTAGGGTTTCCCTATAATATCTGTTTTATTGCATTTGTGGCATAGTGATAAGCACAGAGGTCCCCAAACTTATTGAGCCTGTGGGCACTTTTGGAATTCTGATACAGAGTGGTGGGCACCCCAGCACCACCTCCCGAAAAAATTCCTGGCATCATGTTCCGGTATATTCTAAGAAGTTATTATCCCCCACTGAAATCCATGGGATCGAATGGTTTAAGAACAATATCTTGGTGTCAAAATTTGGCTCTGTATAGCTCCACACTGGGAATATGGTGTTTCATATGCTGACCCTGAATCAACTTTTCTTCATTTGTTTCACTTGCAACTCCTTTACACTGAATAACATACATTAGTGGCTCTGATAGTTGCTGCTGAACTGGTACAAGATTATTTTTTGGAATGGAGCTGAAGAAAATGAGGGAAACCTTACCAGCGCGTTATGCTAGCCAAGCGAATTATGAACACTCTTCACTGACCACATCACCAAAGCTAGCAAACGATGATGACTCTAATCCAACTAAAAGAAATGATGAAAACCAAAACTAAAATGATCAAAAGATGAAACTGCATCAAACAAGTTGCATTAAGTGCAGAGGTGTGCAAGAAACACCAGCACAGTAGTTGCAGAACTGTAGTGTGCAAGAGTGAAGACAACCCTTATATTTGTAGCAAGTGCATGCAGGGTACACCCTCAGAAATCAAATTCATAATTGAATCTACACATTCTTCTGATGAGAGTAACAAAGAGAGATGATCTCCAAGAAAAATGGTAAAGGAATGCAAAGACAGTAACTTCCAGCTAGGTAACTGTGACAAATATTGATTTTCCACAAAGGATCCTCTGCAACAGAAAAAACACACAGCTCACATTGAAGAGACCGAGTTTGCTTGTTCCTACTGTAACGGTGTGTTTTACAGCAAAGGAGAATTCCAACAACATTTGGTGAAGCATCCTGGACCATTTCCATACAAATGCAAGTATTGTGACTATGGAGCTGTTTGGTAGGACTGTATAGGCAAACATACAAGAAGAGTGCATGAAACAGTTGTCAATATATGGCTACAGCTGCTGACAGTGAGCAAAAAACCAATGGTGTACCAAAGCAAATAATGGAAAAGATCTTTGCCCAGGAAGTTTCCCAGCAAACCAGATTGTCAGATCTATCTTCAAATATAATGACTCCTGGAATTCAGAATGAAATATCTGAAAGAGTTCATTCATCTGGAGATACAGATGGTAGCCAAAGTACAGCATGCGTGCAAGATAAAAATATAGCCGAGCCCTTTGACAGTGATTTCCTTAAAAATGAAAATCCAGAAAACGCAGTAATTGAAGTTGAAGTTTATTGTCCCCAAAACGGGCCTTTAATTCCTGGAATGCCATTAACAGTGGTTGCACCATCTGAATTTATTTTGCCACCTAATTGCTTGTCGCAAATACTAGAAATTAAAACAGTGAGTGAAAGACGGCTGTTGACTCTTAAACTCATTCCTTCGAGCAAATCAGAATTTGAAAATCAGTGTACTGAACAAGGAGAGGAACAGTAAGTGGAAGTATGTCACCATTGCTTAATGAGGTTTTGGACTGAGGTTTTGGATTCAGGTAGCTACAAGATTTGAGAACGTCCAGATGCTTCTAATTCTGCTACTTTCAGTTGCAACTCGATGAATATACATGGTGAAAATATAATTTGTTAAGCCAGTGTGAAGAGAGTCACCTCACTCCTGCTGTAGCAATACTTTCTTGTGATGAAGTAAATTCTGCACAATCCTTTCCCTTTCAGAAGCAGAAACTTTGAAGGATTTGGAGACTACTGTGCAAACAGTAAATGGAGAGAATATGAAGAATAAGAACGATAATGTGGAGCCTTTAGAAGCTCAGAGTATGAAAAACAATGATGTCTGTTCAGATAGTGCAGTGTTCTCCCTTTTATTTCCCCTTAGCTCTGGTTGTGTAAGTCTCCCAGATGGCATCTGATGGGATAATACATGACAGAAAAAGGGGTCCACATTCCTTTAACATAGAGTGCTCAATTGATGGTTCCTTCTGAATCAAATAAGAAGTCTCAATTAGCTGTTTTACTGAAGTGTGGTAGAAGTTCTCCTAAGGAGAATATGGGCTCATCTCCAGGATTTTTTTTTAAAATATTGAAAGAAATGGCTCTGCTACAGAATCAGAACAAGTGCCAATGCCTTCTTCCCCCAACAGGTGATACCAGTTCTAGTAGTGACCATTATCCTAAGGAAGAAGCAACACAGCCATCGGAACCAAGCTCTGTAACTAAAACTATGGTGGATAATAAAATGCACATGGCTTCTCTGGTGTTCATTCCTCAAAGGACTGTATTGAGGGTTCTAAATTGTTCTGCTGTCAATGCTACAGCTAAAGAAGAAAATGGAGGTGAAACATTGCTGTCCTCCCCTACGAGTTGCATCGAAAAACTTCTTCCAAGACCAGTTCTCTGCAGTGTTTCTGAAAAACTTGGTCAGGATGCATCTGTCCCTTTTGAGAGTAAAGTTAATGGCATTGCAAAAATCGAAGTATGTCTCATAGGTACAGAAGAAAAACAGAACCCAAAAATCGAAGTGTGTCTCATAGGTGTACAGAAGAAAAACAGAACCCATCCTGAAGATCAATGGGCAGCAAATTTGGAGTGCAGTCACACCAAAAAGGCAGTGATATGAATAAGCCTAACAAAGGGTCCGTGAAGTGTGAAGAATGCAAAAGGAAATGTAATCAAGTTACTATCAGAGAATATTTTTCCAAGAAGAGAAAGAGAACTCCAGATAATGGTGCTCTTGAAGTACTACCTGTTCTAACAAGGCACCTCAGGCTTACCCCATTTAGAAGTGACCAGTTGATAAAGTGCCCTCGTCACAACCAGTCAGCCGTTGTCTTAAATCACTTTGATGTAGATTCACAAGAAATAAATAATGTAATGATGGTTATTAATAAGTATGAAGGCAGTGTCCCGACAGTCATTTTATCAGAAAGATCTATTGGTTGTTTAGGTATGAAACAGCATCCCAAAAGACTTACATTTTAGGATCTGGACCCAGTGACTGAGATGGAAAAATGCCACATATTAAAAATGAAAGTAAAGAGGACCCATAATAGCAGTTACAAGGTGGTGAATATTTCATCAGCTAAAGTGCCAAAATGTACTTTCAAACGTTGGTTTTCTGGTAGGAATCTTGTTAACCAAGATGAGTGGGTAAACCATGGCCAGAAGCCACCCGAGGATGGGATGTTAGTTCTTTTCCCGTAGAAAGTGGCAAGTGAAAAACTGGATATGTTTACAAATTCTAATCACTCTCATTTTGTAGAATGGCTTTAGAACAATTTCAGTATACCAGCCCAGTAGAATTGTGTTGATGTTTACATAAAATAATTGTCTATGGTAGATCAATTAGGTACACTTGGAAGACTGGCAGCTGGTTGTTTCGGTGTGCAACTGTTTTGACAATAGAAATTTAACAGGATATCAGTGGACCACTACCAGAGTAAGTCATCGTGGGATGGTTGCAATAAACTACAAACACTGTACTTCAAGCAAGGGGTCGTGGAAATTTGTAGTATCTGGTGGTAAATTGAAAATTCACACTAGTTTTCTGATTAAGTTTTTTTGGAAGCTGAAGGTGCTTCAGTGTTTAGTGGACAACAGTACTCTAGTTTAAAGGAGACTTCTGTTGGTCTTCTGCTGGTAAGAGGATCATTGGGAAAGACTATGACTATGACCATGTAGCATGAACAGAGATGCTACTGTATATTCAGAGAAATGACTGTAGACAAAATCGTGCTTTCTTGCCTGTATCTATAAACATGTAAAAAAAAATTAATGTGCAAAGGAAGTTCACCAGTGCCCCATTGAAATGAGTGGGGACTGTACAAGAATACTCTTAAAGGGAGCATACATGAGAAAACATTGGATTGTGCCCTGGTGTTTCACTTAAAATAGCTTATTTCCACGGATGGCTGTGAAGGACTGCAGTTCAGGAAGAGATGTTGATGGGTGCATTTTTTGAGAATGAGGATCTTCTGGTCATTAAGATCTGGAAGTAGTGCTGAAAAGTCACAATTTTGCTGTCTTCAGCATTTTCACAACTTTTCTACAAGTTTAGATTTGGCATTCTTGTGTTGTCCTTATATTCCCAGACATTAAATATTGTTACATCTTTAAAATTTCTGGTTACAAAGCATGTCTTGTGGCTCACTTTTGTGTTTTGATACACTACTTAACATGTTAACATCAATGCTTGGGTGCACCTAGGGTCCCCAGTAATTTTTTCAAATAGATGTTCTCTGCTTTTCCCTTTCTCTGTCATTAAATTTTTCATTAAAGCAAAAACAGCCACTGTCTGAGTCTGTTCTCCTGATAGCCTCACTCACTCACGGCAGCTGCTGGGTCACAAGCAGAGGTGATTCTTCGGATCCTGATGGCAGGCTGCTTCTTAATTGTACCTTCTTTTTAAAAAGTCACCAAATGTAGACTGCCACTAAACTTCAGCATCTGTTCTGCAAAGCACTTGTTCACACAATACCAACCCCTGCCTTTTTATTTGAAAAGTAAGAGAAAGCGTATTTTGTATTGAATGCAAGTGTTTTCAGTCTTGGCTGAGGACCTGAAAAGTCATACACTTGCTGTTTTCAAAGTCTTGATAATTGTACAACAGGAGGATAGTGATCTCAACGGTGGATAGCTTTTCAGAATCCAGTATGTTGATGATGGATTCCCCTAAACAAAAAAGTCAGTGCTGTTATTTCAGTATTTATAACCATTTCTACTTATTTATTTGTATGCACTGCCACTCAGTACTGCCAGAAAAAGGAAGATTGTGCCTGTTTCAACTATTCATTTCTTTAGCAACTGTATAAAAAATTACAGTACCATGCAGTAACACTAACGAATATACTTCTGCTCATACATGACAATTCCTCAAAGCAGTCTTTAAGAAATATGGTTAAATAAAAAAGTTTACCAGCCTGAAGATCCTGCATGCTCAAACGTGTTCCTTTCGTCATCTTCATCACAGCTTTCTCACAGTGTTTCCTTCGTACTACCGGGCCTTGTATTTCTTTGTCATTTGCATTTTGCATGCATGCATGCCTTACCCATAAGTAGAGGAATATCATTAAACTATTACCAAACTGGTCTCTTTTATGGCCTGCTGCCTTTATAGGTTTTCTCTTCAAGGGAGAGAATAATATGATATATATCTCAGAGGCTACACTCACAAAGATCTCAAGACTTCTGGAGTATTCAGCTTAAAAAATTTCATTTTCATTCGTACTCCTTGCTTCTCTCTCCTCACACTTTGCTGTTAATGTCTCCTCCGTCCTTACCCAGATCTCTTCCACCCAAATCATCTACTGAGTTAATGTCTTGAAACTTAGCACTTAAGACATAAGGAGTTGATTCTGTATACATAGATTTGCAGAGGAACGATGGGATTGCCATCTCTCTCTTTCCCTCTACTCCATATGTTTATTTAAAGACATTTTTTGTGGTTAAGAAGAGTCATGTTCTCTCTGCAGACACAAATTCACAGTTCTGAGAACTGCAGAACCATGCGTCTGTGCTGGTATCTTCTAGATAGAAAAATTAACCCAAAATAATCTTACAGAATCCTCTGGGGGAAAGTGACATTGGGGCCCTAATTAATGAACTAATGGCGTTCATTTACAAAAAAAAATATTAAAATTAAACATTGCATTCATATACAGTCTCATACTACATAATTAAAAATGAATCCTTATTTCATTATGAAAACCCTTTGGGCTATAATGTATCTTAAAACAGAAAGCTATCTTTAGATAGATTTTCCCTCAAAAAGCATTTTATCAAAATCTTTGGGGGTTATGTATTTGGTGTGCAGGTCTGTTTTGGTTTGCCTCTCCACTAATGTCTCCTTTTCTGCCTGGTATATTGCAGGCACAGATAATCACATTGCAGATGCCTTGTTTTGCTTTCTGGAGGAGAAGGTTCTGGCTGGGCTCTGGCCCCTGGGGCAGACTGTCACCTGGATCTCTTCCCAGAGGAGCTGGGGGTTCTTGAAGACCCGTGGTCACTCAGTTCCGTGGCACACTCCATTCAGTACTCCTGCTCCAGTGCCATTACAACGTCTCTCGCCTTCTTGGAGGCAGAGGGCAGGAACAGCTCCCTACCAACAGCCCTCCCCCCTTCATCCTTGCTGACAGGACCTTCCTAACAAGGTTCCAGTTTGCTAGCATTATGCAGGCTGTCCCGGGGCTCCTTTCAGCAGGCTTTGGGATGCACTCCTTTGGCATTGGTGTGGCAACCCCAGGTGGCCAAAGCTTGGTGTGTCCCCCCCCCCACATACAGGCCATAGACCACTGGAAGTCTTCTGCCTTTGTTGGTCTTAAAGGTGCCACTGGACTCAAACTTTGTTCTATTGCTTCTCTAGGAGTAGTCTTTAGTCCAGTATAACTCCCAGGCTCCTTAACTGAATTAGGTAGGGAGTGTCAGCTGGAGCCTCACTGAAAGCAGGAAGCACCATGACCTTCCAGAGCTCAGCCTTCCCAGCCAGCATGACCGTCATCTTGTCAGGATTTAATTTTGTCTTGTTCACCCTCAGCCGTTGAACCCCAGCAGTCAGTCACTGGGCGGACAGCTACGGTGTCACCAGGTGAGATGCAGAGTTGGGGGTCATCAGCATATTGATGACAACCTGCCACAAGACTGTGAATGTTTTCCCCTAAGGGCTGGACGTGGAGAATGAATAGCATAGGGGGTAAGAAAGGCTGAGCCTCATGAAATCTGACGGGGCAGGTCCCACACAGAGGACAACTGGTCTCCAGCAGCAGCCCTCTGAGATCTGGCCATAAGGAATGATTCAAATCAATCCAAAAGCCCTCTTTACACCCTTCTGCCTCCAACTGTCTGAGCTAGATGGGAAGGTCCACAGTATCAAAGGCAGCTAATGAATCTGGGAAGAGCCACAGAGAGATGTAGCCCTTGTCTACATTCAGATGGAGATCAGTCTCTGTCCTGTAGTCTGGCCCGAAATCAGACTGAGAGAGCCCTAGATCAGATGGATTGTGTAGGAAGACCAGGAATTTCTCTGCTCCTGCTCTTACTATTATCTCCGTGTTCAGAAGCAGCATACTTTCTAAAGACTGGATGCTTGTGGGTTAAGCATGGTTAAGCTCTGTTGCAAATAGGAGGCTGGAATAGATGGCCCTTGGTTTGCTCCAGCTGGGCTCTTTGTGGTGCTACACTCACTCATAAAGCCGTGGGGTAGTGATGGCACGGGGGAAAGCGAGTCCACTCAGCAGACCTGTATTCAGTGGAAAGCAGTCATGGCAAAAGACAAACTGTTCTCCAGTAAGCAGTTCTCACCAAATTTTTGTGGTCTGCTTTCTTGTTGATACCAAACAGTGGCTTCATTCTTTTTTTTTTTTAATATAAATTTTATTTATGTGGTTTTTCTCATATATATTATTTTAACATTACATATTTCAACATAGATTGGAGTCTTACTTGTACACATTTTCCAACCAAATATATAACAGTTTCCATCTTTTATTAAACGCTTCTCTGTTTTTACCTTGCAACAACATACTTAATCTGTCCATTTCAGCTATTGATAATATCTTTTCTATTAGTTCTGTTTTTGAAGGAATTTCATCTGTTTTCCATTTACTGGCTAGCAATATTCTTGCCGCAGTCAAAACATAAACTATGAAGTATTTACTTGCCCTATTATGTGATATGGGTAGCATATTTAATAGAGCGGTTTCTGGTGTGAATAATACCTGAATCCCCGTTATTTCAGTTATCAAAGTATAAACTTTCTTCCAGTATTTTTGGATTATATCGCAGTTCCACCACATATGTATGTATGTTCCTACATTTCTTTTACATTTCCAGCAGTTCCTATTCATATTTGGATAACATTTTGCTAATTTTTCGGGAGTCCAATGCCATCTATAGAACATCTTATAGATGTTTTCTTTATATGGAATTGCTTTCATTAGTTTTATTGAGTTCCACACCTATTCATATTTGGATAACATTTTGCTAATTTTTCGGGAGTCCAATGCCATCTATAGAACATCTTATAGATGTTTTCTTTATATGGAAT